CGCGGCCTCCAATGCGTTTATCTTTTCCAGACAGCTCGCAGGCCAATCGGGTCTTCGGAAGGATGTAGCCCCTCTACCTTCTCGCTGGTGCCTGAGCTTAGTCTCTAAGAAGCCCCGCAACCCTGAGTCCCTCTGTGGTCTCCAAACCTCCAGACTTTCTACAGAGGCTTGGACCCAGGCGGGGCGAAATCCCTCTTCCTCTGGCTCAAACTTAGCCTGGTCTCCCCAAGGGATCCTCCCTCCCTGGCCCCTGCCTCCAGCCGGGATCTGATCTTTGATGGTACTCGCAGTCCCACAACCACCACTTTTGCCCCTCGCACAAAAATGTGTTCTCTTTCATTTGTGGATTTAATAAACAAACGTAACCATATCACATGGGGCTCCGCGCCGTCCTTCTGAAAGCAATTCTGCTGTTGAAAACTGAAAAATGGGTGTAATTTGCATTCAGAAAAGTGATGTTAGGGTCATGGCAATTTTCCGGGCCATTATTTATTTTTACTTTAAAGTCTTTAGGGAAGATTTGCTTATATACTCGGAAACCTTCCAAAATGAGGGTACCAGCAATCCACTCGTCTGCCTTCAACGCGCGGGAGGGGGGAGGGGCAGAGAACAATTACTGAGTGACGCTAATATGGGGAAACTGAAAAGAAAAGTCGATTGTTTTTATTGTAACAGAAGGAGTGAGCAAACAGAAAACCCAACCCGGGTGATCGGAAACAGGCAGGCGGAGAATTAAAAGCGGGTTTCTGAAGGCAACAGGCCCCTCCCCTGCCCTCGGAAGGAGAAGGCTGCGTGCCGCGCTCGCAGCCCGAGGGTCGGTCCCACTGCCCGACAGCGCAGGGACCCGCAGCTCGTGGCACGGCCGCGCGCTGGGAGCGGTCTCCGCACTCTGGTCCCGCCAGGCGGCTGTTGCCTCTGGGGCTAAAGGTCTTTAATCGTGAGAATCTTCGCAAGGAAGAGACCGCGGGGAGGCTCTGGCGATTCTTGGAGCAGCGGGCTGGCTCCGCTTGGGGGCCATGGGGCCTCTCCTCGGGCTGTGGCGTCCGGAGGCTTCCGCAGCCCGCGAAGTCGGAGCTGGCAGGTCAGTGAGTGAGCGTCCTTCTTTCCCGCGCCGCCCGGCGGGGCCGGTGGGCTGTCTCTCCCTCTCCCGGGGCGCTTCCCTCTGGCCACCGCCCCCGACCCCGCCCGCGGCAGCTCGCGCGGCCCCGCCGCAGCCCGCAGCTGGAGCGGACCCGCCCTCGCCTCGGGTCCCCGCGAGCTTCCGGCTGCCACGTGCGGCCGCAGTCGCTGGGCTGCAGCGCTGGAGGAGGAGCGGTCGCTGACCCCGCGAGGCCCGGACACAACAGGGGGGATCGGGGTTTGAACCCGCGGCCCAGGCTCTGGCCGCGCAGTTTGGCGAGGACAGGAGCAGCCGGGTCTCCTTTTCTTTCTCCGCCGCGCGGAATCCTTCACTTACCCTGGAGGAGGTGTTCCCTTGGGGTTACCGGGTCCCAGCACTGGCCTCTGCCGCATTCCCTCGAGGTGGCTGGAGAATTCACTGAGCCCTGAAAAGCCGAGCCGCAGCTCAGACTCTGGCTGCTTCTCGAACCCCGATCCTCGAAACTCCCTGGGCTGGGCGCGAGGCCGGCGCAGTCGCTAGGGCCTCGCCGGGGGCCGGATGTTCCGAGTACGGGACTGGGTGGACGACTCTGCTTCTTAATCTCCTCCGCCAGCTCTGTTCATCCGACGCGCGGCTGGAAGTAACAGGCCCCCTCTCCCGCACGCTTACGCCCCCTTCTCTCGCAGTTCCCGGGTCCGCAGTCGCTGCCGACTTGCAGACTCCGGGAAGCCGACGCTGGGCGGAGCAGCGCCGCCCGCGCGGGTCGCGTTTGGAGAGTTGGGGTGTGATTGGGGGTGGCTCCTGGCCCCCAGCGTAGCCTGTAGCACCCGGGTCCACCTCGACAGACCTCTTCTCCCCTCCCCCACGCCCTTTGTCAGACACCGGAGGGCAGCTTCGGAGGAAATAGATTCCGGTTCCTTTGCCGCGTCTGCGTCTCTCCAGAGACCCGGCTAGTGCCGGAGCGCGACGCCGCAGGTGACCGCTGGCGGCACTGGGACAGCTGACAGATTTATGAAGACTTTACAGCATCTGGTTTGAGCCCCGCAGGGGTAGGGCTGGAGTCCAACTGAAAAGACACAGTGCGAGCTAAAACTACCCCCAGCCTCGTACCCTGGCCAAGAAGCCTCTGGAGTCCCGGGTGCTGGCTCCCTCCAGGAGCGTGTACACATCTGTCGCCTGCAGCCAGAGCCTAGAGTAAGAGTTCTCCCCACCCAGAATAGCCCCCTCTTTCACACCCTCCAGTCTGACCAGCTTCCAGTCTCCCACTGAGTAAATATTTACCCAGAGAACAGGTCGCCCCTCAGAGGAGGCCACAACAGCGCCTTGGGAAGGGTTTTTGGCTTCTTCGCGGCCTGTGTCAGCTGCAGGCCTTACTGGCTGTGTTTGGGTTATGGTCTTAAATTTCTTCTAGTCGAAATTCTTCCGATCTCTGTGTGATCTCCCGGCCCAGAGCGGGCAATAACCAGGGGGCGCTGACCCCTGCTGACCCTTGCTCTTTCTCGCAGCAGCCTTGCATTTCTATGCCCACCATTGAGGCTTACTGGCCCTTAGTTTCCCCTCTTCCCCACCCCACCCCCATGTCTTCGTTTCTCTTCCTCTATCCATCTTTCTCTTGGGCAGGTCAGGTCACTTTTCTTCTCCTTGGGGCGCACAGGGCAGGCAGCCTGCTACTTCACCGTAGCCCTCAGTGTGCATGCTGAGGTGTGTTCAAAATCAGCCTCTTCCTTTAGGATATCCATTGCCTCTGTCAGTTCCCTGAAGCATCAACTCCTCTTGCCCAAGCGAGAGCCTCAGTCTCAGATTTTTGCGGATACTTGCTGCACCGAAACATCAAAGATTCTTCGTGGGCTTTTGGAGAGCGCTGAACAGAGAGAGCTCAACTTCTGCAGTTGATGAGGTCCGCTAGGGTTCAAAGCGGGCTTGAAACAGAGGGTCTACCACAGCTAAGGTCGAGAGTGGTTGTGCACCTCCACGGCCAAGTCCAGCAGGTGGAAATGGAGAGATGACAGCTGACCTGTGCAAGATTGCGGGAGACATGAGGCAGCTGAAGAAATTGGGGGCAAATGAGAGGGAGTTGTGTTTTAGGTTCACCTAAACAGAACCCTAAGCAATACGAGCCTCTAAGTCTGGGCTGGTGCTGTAGAACCGCTAAAGTCCTCACAAAGCAAACACATAGACTCTACATGGGCCACTGGTTGAACAGCCATTTACCAATGTCGCTGTCCTGCAGAGTCGCAGAGCGCTCCCTGCATGCATACCAGCTGAGCAGAGTGCAGAGGTCGCTGCTCACTGCAAGAGTCTGCTGGAAGAGGGGACAGGCGGATTCTTGTTCAAGATGTCCAGCAGTCACTCCTTCGCAAAAGCCTAGGGCATAGTTGTAAGGTCTCCCTTCAGGTAACGCAATCTCAGCTAATTGGCACCTCAGTTCCAAGGGAACAGCTGCTTTTAAAATCTTAGATTCCCAAAGGACCCCCGCTTTGTAAAGCTCCAGGAGGGCATGCACTACAGGTATTGGGAGTCAGGCTAGGGTGAAACTGCTATCAAGTCAGACCTGGCAGCTTTAAATATCTGAAACAAACAAAAAATTCATTTACTTGTAGTTGTGGAACACTTTCTGTTCACAAAAATCTGATTGTAAATAATTGAGTTTGATACATTTTTAATCTTTCAAATACTTCCTACCTGTTAATCTGAACTTAGAGAACACCCTCACCACAGAATTGTGAGGACCTAGAAAATATTGTTCATTTAAAAATATTACAGATGATTGTTAGTTTTCTCTGGGTTCTTGTCACTTACTGGCAGGGGATCTGAATCCAATTGTCTTCATTGTGTGTAGACCAGAGCCGCACAGTCCCTCGGGATTGTGGAAGGATGCCTGCATCTTGTGTGCACAAGAAGGGCCATTTTGACTGTTAAATATCAGAAGCACTACAAACTTCCAAGTCGCAAAAAGATATTTCTCATCTTGTTTTAAATTTGGATTCACATTCTTCATTACCCACCCCCCCCCACCAAAATGTGAAAACATTTGGTCGTCAAAAACAAACTGCTGACTTTAAATTTATCCTTAGAGTGAACGAAAGTGAAAATTCAGAAGCAGGCAGAATTGCTGGGCCTTCGAAACGAAAGGCTAAACGAAAAATGCAGGAATTACATAGTTGTTCAGGCCGGGTGTCCACTTTTTTGGGACATCCAAATCTTATTTTCATACTTAAACAAAATCCCTTTGCAATAGTTTGCTGGTAGGGAATAATCCGCAATAATTCTAGGAAATGGGGACTGAGCGCAGCGGTATGCCTATTTCAGTCGCGAACGCCCATGCACGGGTCAACGTTGACAGCGTGCTTGTTTTGGCCGCGTGTAATAGTCTGCAAGCCGCATGCCCCCTGCCTCCAGCCTGGTCTGAAGCCTGGATCCTGGGCTCCGGAAGGAGCCCTCTAGAGACTGCTCTCAGGGGCTTGTCGTGGGTGTCCATCGCAGGGTTTCTACTTGGCGGTAGCCGGCTCCCGTCTCTGCCTCATCGCCCTGAAAGGTCCTCGTCCTTCTTACACCTGTGCGTTAACCACCTGGCATAGGTTGGAGTGGACTGGTAACAATGTTGTCCTCTTTACAGTCCCTGGACGGCTGTATGATAGGCTAATCTAAGACCTACTTCTTCCATCTATAATGACAGTGTCCCCCAGCTCTAATGACGGTGTTGCCCACCTCCCACTTGGAAGTTTGGCTTCAATTCTGAGACATTCATCTTTCCCCCAAAGAAATCTCAGCACCTTTGTGTCGCTCATATTCTTATCAAAAAGCTTTCGTTTGCTTATTCAGCATTTTTAACAGCCTGATTTTGCTGTCAGTTTGCGGTGTTCCTGGGAAGGTGTCAAACACCCTATTTCATTGTATTTAGTCACCCAGGTGCGGAGTAAGCCTGTAAGAGACAGCGGAAGAACTTTCCAGGACTGCACTGTCGCTCTCCGGCCCACACCAATCACCGCGCAGCTTGCCCTCCGGACCTCCCTTTTGGGGGCGTGTCACTAGTGAGTGATAGACGGAGCCGCCCGGCCCCGCTCAGCCCAGCCCACGTTGCTGCTTAGATTGAAATGCAGAACTCAAGCCTCTTTCATCGGGGCGCAGACTTCCTTTTACTCCTTCCTTTTGCACTCTCACCGCCTCCTCCCGGGGAGAAGCGGAGGCACCGGCTGCCCGGGACAGCGACAGTCAGGGTCACCGAGGCCGTGCAAAAAGTTTCTTTCTGGGAGCGCAGAACTGGGGCCCGGTTGGTGTACTGCTCGGAGCAATGGGTGAGTGGCGGCTGGGGGACGCTGTCAGAGCCGGGAAGGGAGGGAGGGAGCGAACTGGCGAGGGAGGGAGGGAGCTCGAGAGCGCGCACCACTGAGCGTTCACACTCCCCTTATTGACTTTGCTCGAGTTCCTACAAGTTGTAGGAACACGCTAAGGGTCAGCGGCGCACAGCAGCTCAGTCTGAACGTTGGCTCCTGGGCTGCTGTTGATGCCATTTTCTGATTTTAAGAAAACGGAGCAGTGGCATCAGAAAACCCTCATTTCCAGGCGTACACGCACACACACACGCGCCAAACAAATAAAAAAGGCAGCACACACACGCACACACACACAATTCAAACTGTGATTTCTTTTAGATCTTTTCTAGCAGCGCAGGTCCCCAGGCGAGGAATTGGGGATCAAGGGAGAGCGGCCCAAGGACTAGATCTGAGCTGGCAAGGAGTGGGTTGCAGTGGTCTAAACCGATTTCCCCGCCTGCTTCGGAGAGTTTTGAACACTAGGCGCTGTCCTCTGTCCCAGCATTGGACATTTGTTTGTAGCGGCCTCTGGCACCACCGGAATGAAAGAGGGGCGTCTTACCTCACCGCGGTGGTTTGGGGCAGTTGAGTCTGGTTCGGGGATCTTGGCTTGGGGGGACAAACCTGGGTCGTTCGTCCGGGGCGTGTGCCTCCTCCCTGACCCCTGACGCGTGAGGAGACCGAGTGGCAAGTGGCTGTCCCAAACTCTGGGTGCGCGTCGCCGCGCGCTGTGTGTTCATTTTTCAGAGCCAGCCTTTGGGGAGGTGAACCAGTTGGGTGGAGTATTCGTGAACGGGAGGCCGCTGCCCAACGCCATCCGGCTTCGCATCGTGGAACTGGCCCAACTGGGCATCCGACCTTGTGACATCAGCCGCCAGCTCCGGGTCTCCCACGGCTGTGTTAGTAAGATCCTGGCGCGCTACAACGAAACAGGTTCCATCTTGCCTGGAGCCATCGGGGGCAGCAAACCTCGGGTCACCACCCCCACCGTGGTGAAGCACATCCGGACCTACAAGCAGAGGGACCCCGGCATCTTCGCCTGGGAGATCCGGGACCGCCTGCTGGCGGACGGCGTGTGTGACAAGTATAACGTGCCTTCGGTGAGCTCCATCAGCCGCATCCTGCGCAACAAGATCGGCAACTTGGCCCAGCAGAGCCATTACGATTCATACAAACAACACCAGCCGGCGCCTCAGCCTGCGCTGCCCTATAACCACATTTACTCATACCCCAGCCCCATCACGGCAGCGACCGCTAAGGTGCCCACGCCGCCCGGGGTGCCTGCTATCCCCGGCTCCGTGGCCATGCCGCGCACTTGGCCCTCCTCACACTCGGTCACCGATATCCTGGGAATTCGCTCCATCACTGACCAAGGTAAGGGTTCTGGGGTCTGATGTGTGGATGTACAGACCCTCGCTCTGCACCTTTGCTGAGGTCTCGGTATCTGTGGCCTCATTATCTGTGGCCTCCCTGACCTAGGCCACGTCTATCCCGCCACCTGAGGCTTTTTTCTTTGGAAACGTAAGGAGTCCTCCCAGGGGGTGTCCTGATCTCATTAACTTGAAATTCATGCCCTTCGTTTCCTTGCCACACACAGTCTCCAGCCTCATCTCAAACAGCCAGACCCATAACATCCCCCCATCCCCAACACATGGTTCGCATTTTCCACACTCCCCCGCCTCTCGCGCTGCGGCAGCCTCAGACTGGCTTGCTCACTTGGAGAGCGCGGCCGGGGCCGGACTTGGGGCGCAGCCCGGGAGGCCCGACCCGGCGTGGGGCTGCCGGTTGCAGACGCTGCTGCGGGTTGCTTGTTTGGGGATCAGATGCAGCCGCGAGGAGTCCGGGCACCCTGTGGAAACTGCAGTATTCTTCTTGGATTCTGGCAATCAGACCAAATTTGCTCAGGCAGGAAGTTCAAATGTCACCTAATTGGTTTCATTCTTATGCTTCACTTCATTTTCCTCGGAAACAGAGGTCCTCAAAGTTACCACTATTAACTTGCCTGTTACTGCATTGCTTGTTCTGGGACTAATTTTCTTCTTTATCATTCCTTCAACCATATATGTGTGTGTGTGTGTGTGTGTGTGTGTGTGTATACATATACATGCATATATATAATCTTAGAAAGTGTCACCAACCACTCTGTGATGAAGACAAAAATGCGTGACGATTCCATGCCGGTCTCTCTTCTGTTCCTTTCCCTTTCTCCTGCCGCTTCCCTTTAGGGTTACTCAGTCTCAGTAATGCGAGTGGACATTTCGTTCCTGCATGTTTGCAGTGGTGCTACTCCAGTGTTCCTTTTCTTCTCACCCTTGACCTTGCGGTGTCCTGAGTATCTTTTCTACTGGTTAAGAATGATTCACTAAACCTTCACGCTCCATCGGAGGAAATCTGAAGGGTTTTTGTTGTTTTGTTTTTTGTTTACTTTTTACAGCGTTGTACTGCATGGTTAAAACAAAACAGCATTAACTTCTTTCTCCATAGGACGAAAAGAAAGTAAAAATCCCCTAGATGCAGAAATTAAATAACACAGAGAGCCTACTTTTTAAATTTACAAAGTTTAAAAAGTACAGGGAAAAAAATAGGAGAGGCGGGGAATAGTGCCTATAATTATTTCCTGCCTTTCTAGGTTGCCATCACACTGGCACAATTATCGTTTTAAGTAATTAAAGCAGAGCCTCCTGATTTCTCATTTTCTTGTTTTCTGAGCGTGAATTTACAAGATCCTTCTAAGAGCTTAGTTTTATCTTACCAGGAGCTGGCTGGAGATTTAGTTGGAGAGTTCGCTGTTGATTTATAGGATAAACTGACCTCACTGACATTTAAAGGAAGCCCCTGTTCATGGGAAAGTGTGAGATCAGCAGAAACGGGGCTCACAGGGGATCTCAATTTCTTAAGATAACTTCAGGCTTGTGCCCACCGACTGTCTTTTGTCTGGAAAGGCAAAGAGAGACTGGCAGTTCTGGGCCAAAGCATGGTTTTCTGGTGCAAATTGGAGCACAATCTAATTCTTTGGAGAGGGGGAGGTAGAGTGAAAAAAAAGACTGACAGAGCTGAAAAGAAAACTTTTCTTCCCTGGGGATCCTACAATCAGACCAAATGTCAGTGGAAAGGTATTAGATTATGGAGAGGAGCAATTCTTCACTTTAGATGTTGACTGGATGCTGACTTTCAACAACCTGTTTTCTGACAAATCTATGCATAGAAAGTAATTACAAATGATCAGCTTTATAAATGATCACCCCTCAAAATCACCTTCATTGTAGTGACCTTGTCAAACTTTCCCCCTCAACCCTTAGGTCCCACAGACAAAAAACAAATGGCTGGTGGTTTTTAAATATCTCCTCTTTAAAATTGCACTCGGTTTCTTCAGGATGCCAGTGACGCAATAGACACAACTCTAGGTATTATGGCATTCGGCTTATTCTATATACTTTTACTTGCATCCCTATTAGGAACACAGAGGATAATGGACAGTTTTACTCCTCTTCAAAAACACTTAATTGTGTCACTTAACCTTCATTTCATTCTACAAAGCCTTCTCTAAACTTATTACTGACATTCAAGGCATTGGCAGTGGTAACTGTATTAATTCTTTGTGCGATGTGCACATGAACTGATATTTCTATGTAGCTACAGAGCATAGAGGGTAGTCACACATAAGCCAGAAGCCTATGCAGGTGTATTTTGCATGTTTATTGTTGGCATTATTTAGTTATTTGCAAAGGACTCTGCAGGTCTTTTGTTCCATATTGACACAAGTAGTTCTCAACACATTTCTAAAAAAGTGGTGAACACTTTTCTGGGTGTCTCTGAGCACCAGCACCAACAAGGGCATGGATAGGCCAGTGCTGCTCTCTGCCTTTTCAGCCCGCACCAGTTGCAGCGCTTAGTCACCACCATCCTCATCCTTGCGACCCTGGGTCAGGAGAAGAGAGGAAAATGGGCAAGCAGCTTCACAGAGAGGAAAATGGGCAAGCAGCTTCTTTCCCCCAATTTGGCAAAACTCTCAGGTTCTTTCCACTTGTTTCCCTGGGACATCCAGGAGGGGAGGAGGAAATGAAAGACCGGTTGAAAAAGAAAATATTTTCCCGAAAACTTGAGAGGGTTCCGGGAGGCCTACACTGAAGCTAGAAATGCTTCTGGGTCTCGGGGGCTGGAATCCTGGGAGGATGCCCCTTGGCCCCAGCACTTACGAGGCCAGTGGCAGAGGTCCCGACAGAGGTCGAAACCCTAGTGCCCCCAGGTGGCGAGTTCGGGTCCCATCTCAGGAAGGGGCGCGCCCGCCGGACCTTCAGAGTGACGGTTTCTCTTCCTCCTCAGGAGTGAGCGACAGCTCCCCCTACCACAGCCCCAAGGTGGAAGAGTGGAGCAGTTTGGGGCGCAACAACTTCCCTGCAGCTGCGCCGCACGCGGTGAACGGGCTGGAGAAAGGAGCCTTGGAGCAAGAAGCCAAGTACGGGCAGGTAAGGAGGCGAGGTCCCCGCTGGGTGCGCTTCTGGCGCTCCTTGGGTCTGGAGCACCAAGGACCCAGGTCTGTGTCTGGTCCTCCCCAGAGGGGAAGCCCAGGAGGCCAAAGACCAGTCGCCGCCAAGAGTTGATTGGGCAGATCCGAGGCCCGGATTTTCGAGGGCGGAGTTGAGGCCTAGACCCCCTGTCATGGCCCCAGGGCCGGGAGGGAAGAGGCGGAGGATCGGCGCGCTGGTCCGAGAATCGGTCCCAAGTCGCCTTGACCTCTGGAGGCCGAGCCCCTGGCCGCAAGCATCAGGGCTAGAGTTAGGCTAAGAAGGTGCTCGCGAGAGGCTGGCAAGCGGCATCGGACTCCCAGAGCCACACGGATGCGATCGGCCTCCGGGCCTGCGACGTCCAAGTTACGGTGGCAGGCGGCGGGGTCCTCACGCTGGGACATTTCCCATACTGCGGCTCCCCCAAACAAACAAGCGTGACTTGACCTGCGATGATTAGAAGAGGGCAACCAGATAAACCTAATAAAGTTACCATTTCCCGATTAAAGGTCACATCGTAATCTCTCAAGGGAGATTAGTGAGAAAACCTCAAATTATACGGGCTAGCTGTGAACCTTTTAATTTTTCTTTCCTCCCGTTCCTCCCCTGACTCTTCAAAAAGAGAGAGAGAGAGAAAGAGAGTGAGAGAGAGTGTATGTGTTTCCTGAGAAAAACTAAGCAACCACAACAGCAAGAGCCCAAGAGTTTTGAGTCTAAATTCATCACTACATTGGAGTCAGGATTTCAAAATTCTCAAAAATAAATGTTCAAACAAAAAATGAATCATAAAGCAGGCTAAGGTCTTTGAGCAGACCTGGGTAGATTTGTTAGTTTCTTAATCCCAGATGCCAATTCCAAAGCCTCGACATAATCAGTTTTTTTTTGTTTTGTTTTTAAGTCTTAAAATTTTTAAGCTTCTCTTATCTGTCAAATCGGCATCAACATTTAAGTGAAGTGGAATTTGTTATTTTTATTAATTTAGGAAAAATCCTGGTCATTTTTAAACGAACTCCTTTTCCACTTCCTCGTCCCTTCCTTATTTTGTTAAAATGGTCAGATACATTTTCTTAGGTCTCCCATGACAAATATTGGAAAAAAAGCAACAAGGCGAGTCTCTTTCCCTAGTCTGCTTCTATTGTAAGATGCTAATGAGAAATTATAAGAAAAGCTGTCATTTTCTTTTAGAAAGTGGTCTGTAATTCATAAAGGAGAGACAATATGTATAATGGTTAGGCACCCCTGGCACTTAGGCAAATTATTAAAATTTTTAGAACCTTACTTCTTCATCTGTAAATAGGGAAGTAATAGTTCCAACCTTAAAAAATGTGAAGATTGCATGAGATAATGCAACCATATGGCACAGAGCATTAACGATTACCTGTAGTTGTAAATGATAGGGACTGACTTTAAAAAAAAATAAAGCAATTTAAAAAATCAGAATATGCTTTGTTGTGCTAGTGCAAGTCAAAAAATGCCAGGGTTATTTTGTTAGAAATAATAGAAGGAATGTATTGAAACACCTAGAGTTGTAGCAAGCATTTGCTAGCTACTCAGTAATTTCTATTAGGTAATCATTTACTGAAATAACATCAAAAAGTATACAGTTGAAAATAAATTGTCTCTAGTTGAGAATGTAGTTGATGAATGTAGTTTATATTTAAAACTCTGCCATCATCCAAATATTTTTATGATTATTTTAACTCCCTTGAATTGTTTATACTTGTTTAGATGTAGTGTTTATACTTGTTTAGAAGTAGTTAAGGTAATAAATATAAAATAAAAATGATGACAGTTTCAAATAATTTATATATTCTGTACATTAGAAATCAATTACCTCTTATTCACTGAGTATTCAATCACTAAGTTGTCAGATTTAAACTTAAAGAAATTGACCAAATAAGTATTGTTCTAAGTGCTAAAAGGTTCATTTTTTTTCCCCCAGAAGAAAAAGGTATTTATGTCAAACTCAACTTTGGAAATTTCTTAATTGAAATATATCAATCTTTGGCATTGCTGTGAAGTAAGATAACTCAAATGGTGTAAAATTTTAAAATCGGAAAGATTTCTAAGTACAAAAAGAAAGATTACTCTATCACAATTATCAAAATAGAGCTCAATGTTAAAAGTAACCTAAATTGTGTGAACAATGTTGGAGTTTAGACATTGATCTCCTTGAGGGTAAAATAATACATTAATACTTGTTCTTAAACAAACAAGCAAAGGTTAGGTAAATACATGTGTTTCTCTTATCAATATTCAAAGAGAAGCTTTATTTTAAAATATATTTTTCTAAAAAAATATCAGCTTATGTACATTTTACAGCCAAAATGTAAACTTGGGTAGAAAATTTTCTCTTTGTATTATAAACAAAATTTTAAAAGTCTTTCGCATAAAATAATTCTCAAAATTTCTGTACAAAGGAATTTTAGGGCATATGCAGTTTATTAAATAGTACTGTATGTATATAGTACTGATCCTGGTTTCACTTTAGTTTATAAAGGAGGAAATTGAGAATTTAGAATCATAGGACTGAGAGTATAATCTTTTCCTCACAAGGCACCTGTAAAATTACTAAGCAGGCTGAATTGGCAACTGGCTGTAGGTGCTGTTTATCACTGATCTAGAGTTTCTAGTTCTAGCTTGGACTGCAGATGCCTAGTTAGAAGTAATTATAACTTTGTGCATATTTCAGCTACCTAAGCCAATTTTTCTGTTTTTGTAACACTAGTTTAGAATATTGAAATTTGTCTTCCGAATTAATATTGCACTGCACTTGATATCCATAGTGCCATTCAAAAGTAGAATAATTTTCTAGTTCATTGTTTAAAAACATCAGCCTTGCAGATATACTGTTCCTATGAAGATCTGAATAAAGTTGCACTGGATTTTTCATCATATATAAAATAAAGTTAATTGCATCTAAAATAATGTATAAACTTTGTAGAGAATAAAATGATGGGTAACATAAATAGAATGTTTCTGAAATTCATAAGGTTCTCTATTATGGAGACTATTCTTTGATATGTCTGGGTTTGGACTATTTGTGTCTGAAAACAAAATTACTGATTATGTAACAGTTAAATGTATAATATACCACAAAAAATTTTAATTTAAGGCTATATCAATTTTAGTAGCATTTTAGAAACAAAACTTAGGGAAAAATTCAACTGCAACTTTCCCTAACCTAGAGACATTTAGATCTGCAATATGATAATTGAGCATAATTGAGAAAGGCCCTTTTGGAAGAATGTTGAGATAATTTTATCAGACTTGCTTTATGAAGTATACATTTAAGAAGGGCAGCACGACAGAGGAAGTCTTACCTAACTTTCCTTGCTATGATATGGGGGTTGAAATTTTAGGTAAAGCACATTTCTACTTGTGGTCAAATGTAGTTCATTATAAAGTCAAAATAGGGCCTCCCTGGTGGAGCAACGGGTTAAAGCACAGCTCTATGAAGCTAGCCACAGCCACTTCAGCACTAGTTCGGTACTGGCTAGGGGGTGACACACGTGGCAGCCAGGGGGTGCCCACATGGCGTGGCAGCCCTTTCTGCCCGCTGCTCCCTTCAGCAGTGTACTTTGTCAGTCTGCCTGTTCTGCTCCCCACTCTGTCTCTGGTGAATCCTCTCACTGCTTGTACACCTGGCCTGTACCCCAGTTCTGTATACATACATAAATAAATCTTTAAAAAAAATAAAGTCAAGGTAAACTCATTTTACCACAAGAGAAGCAGATATAACTGATGAGTGGATGAAAGATTGTGGGTAGAGGACTTGGCACGGCTGTTTTCATTTTCTTCAAGTGAGAAAATGTTGAGTAGACAATTTGAAGAATAGTCTATAACCTCTTGTTGCCCAGATAGTTGTCATACCAGTTTTCTTCATGGTCATAAGTGTTTGGATACTAACACATGTCCATTTTATTGCACTGGGGGAGGGGAGGGAATAACTGGACTGATCATAAATCAAATAATGAATAGAGCTAGGTTAGAAGTTTTATTTACTTTTCAACAGCTTTTAATTATTTTGCTTACTTAAAGTACAATGCTTATTCCTTGATAAAGGTTCCTACTTTGCTTTTTTTTTTTTTAAAGCAAGAGTATCACGTCATTTGCTTTCAAAAGTCTGCAAAAATTTTAAGTATATAAATGATTATGAAATGCCTGTCATGTGTCCCATTTTGTGGGGATAAGAGATAATTAAGGCAAAATTCTTGCCCTCAAAATGTTTACAATCTAGAGCTCTCTATGGTGGTCCAGCGGGTTAAAGCACAGTACTATGAGGCTATCACAGCCACTGCACCACCAGTTTGATCCTACGCCAGGGAGGTGACCCCCATGGCGCGGCAGACCTCTCCTATCCCGCCCACTGCTCCCCTCAGCAGTGTGCTCAATCAGTCTGCCCGTTCTGTTCCCCACTCTGTCTCTGGTGAATCCTCTCACTGCCCCTGCACCTCTGACTTGTACCCCCAGTTCTGTATGCAGAAATAAATAGATCTTTAAAAAAATCTTTAAAAAATGATTATAATCTAGGTCTTTGCCAAATAGCTTCTCAACTTTCATTTAAAAACATATTTTTAGTTTTTAAAAGTTGAAGTATCATTGATTTACATTTTTAGTGTAAGAAAATCTATCTTTAAAACTGGAAAATCTATCATTTTAGAATAAGTGGCTACTCATACTTTCTTAACTTTTTTATAATAATCTAAATTAGACTGTGTAGTATTTTATTGGGATTAAAATTTGTCTTTATCTAAAAAATAGTCAACCAAATAAGCAACTTTTCCCAGGATATGTAATTTGACCTATTTTATTTCGTATTAGTAAATCATATTCTCAAGACAAGGTAGAAGGGAGTTTACTTTAGGGAGGCCCTTTAGTTGCTGTTGTTTTTAATGTTTTAAAAGGACAGGTTTATTAGGAAAAAGACAGAAAAGGAGAGAAGCACCTGTACAGTCAGAGCTGGGGAGGAGAGCCACCCTTGCATAGTTCTTTAGTGGAAAGGATTCTCCAGACTTCCATGGAAGAGTGCATGAAAAAGTAGCTGATGGACTGACGTATTATTTATGGAATCTTTAGGTAAAGTCATTTTCAAAAATGCGATTTCCATTACATGCCCATTGCGGGGGTTTCATTTGGAAAATTTGTTTACTCTTCCCTGGGGATTCCATATGTTGGTTGATTTATACATCATATTTACAGTCCAATTAAATAGAGTAATTTAGCATGTTTTCTTCCACTATATTTATGGTGTACATTTGGTAGTCTACTCAGCCTAACTAGCTTTTCAGATTAATTACATGCCCTTCATTGAAAACATTAAACAGATTTGGGAAGCTGAAGTCTTGTATGCTTTTGCTGAAAAGAATAAACAAACACCAATGCTACCTGTAGTTGTTTTCCTTTGCAGTGGAAAATTTTACTCTTGTAGTGATTGCTTCATAAATAACAGTCATTTTACCGAGTAGAGATTTATATCTTTTCTAATGTCATGTTTTAAAATTAATAGTGAGAAAATTGATGTGTTTATTGAGTCACTAAAGTGAATGAATAGTGAAGGTGGCAGGTACATTTGAAAGCGTGTTTGTTCTCACATCTCATGCCATTAAAAAAATTCTATGTTGAAACTTTAAAAGAGGAAAATTAAGACAAAATCCACACCCTCCCCCCATCTAAATTATTATTTAACCTAAGGGAAAGCTAAGAACTATCTTTGTACTGTTCATAGCGAAAATTTCTTTCTCCCTCTCTCTCAGTGAATAAATTAGCCTCCCCTCGCTAATGTATTTCTACAAGATGAAGAGGTCAACCCTCTCCAAGCTTCCTTTCTTCTCCTTTTCTGTAAGACAAGGGGACTGCATCACTAAAATCACCATAAATATGTTGTAGATTTTGGAGAACTTTTACATCTTTAATACTAACAGGGATAAAAACATGAAAACAAGTTTGGTGCCTCAAGTTGAAAGTTTGGACAACTGTGGCAAAAATTAGTAATGTATTTTTTATACTTAACAAAATTTAGTCATGAAGTAAGCAAGGGGCCTGGAGGTAGCATGACCTCAATCCAGTACTCTGCCTTCTCAATCCCCGAGCATTATCCAAGATGAGTGTCCAGTCTAGGCTCAGAAGGCCATTTCTAGATGGAGCACTTGTTTGTGCAAAAAGAAATGGGCCCAGGAAAGTTGACTGTAGACATCGCAACAGAACAGATGAAAAGTCCCAAATCCCAGGGCACATCAAGATTTCAGGGCAAGGGTGCAAAGGCCGTAGGGGCGGCATGGGGAAGAAAGATGGCAAAGCAAGTATTTCAGAGAGAAATGGATGACAAAAACAAAATGCAAAGTAAAAGAATGGGTAGGAAAATGGTGGCCACGTTAGAAAAATGAAGTCGCCAACAATTTCTTTTTCCTGTTAAGTAGAACATTGTTTTTGTCATGAGTAATATAAAGGATTTTAACTTTAGTTACTTATAAAATGTGCGGGGTTTTTCATTATTTGAAAAGTAATGTTAACCTTACCGTTTTAATATTAACATTCCTATTTTATGATTCTCAGTGCACACTAACATCAATAGTATAAAATTCTAATTTGAGTTGGAACAGAAGAAGCCAAATATAGATGTAAACTCCTTTCTATACTGAATTGGAACAATGCCTTATAGGTTATTAAGAAAACGTGAAAAAGATGATCTAAACTTTAATTGCTATGCAATGCTAATTTCTTCTTCTGCTATTTGACGGCTGTCTGTCTTTATACTAATGTGTAGAGTCTTAAAATGTGTCTCCTTTGAGCCATCCTCAAATGCATCATTCTCAGAAGGGAAGAAAGATGACTTTCAGAAATTAAGAAACAGAATAAAAATCTAACAGTGAGAATCAGATTATAGAAGAAGAAAATTGTTACCAGATGTTGTTTCTGAAGATATTCTAGTTTGATATTAAATTACACCTATTTTTTAATTGTTCAGGAAAAGCAGTATGATTTGCCACAGAGGATCCTGCACAAGATAGGGGTGATAACTTCTTTTAACACATGTCTGTTGGCTTGTCAATTGGTCTGGGGTAAATGACTAAATTCCTAGGTCTATGTTCTTGTGTATGAAAAGAGGGTAATATTTCATCAATATTCAGGCACAATCAATACTTTTGTTGTTAAAAAACATACAACATCGGCTCCTTGTAATACACTTTAATACATTGTGTTATATTTATATATTATCCTATAATTTTTTTAAGTTCAAAAGTTATAATTCATCAACTCTCAATATTTGATATGTTGGCCCTTTCTTGTTGTCCAGGACATAGTACATACTCAAGAAACCTTACTTTCCTTCCCCTTTCTTCATTTTTCAAAGTATAAGCACTTTGACAACTGGAACATGAGGTGTGTATTCTTAAAAATCAAGGACACAAGTTTATGTGTAAATTCTACTCCATGTATTTCTTTAAATAGAAAAATTTGTTGAGACCTTTGCTATTTGCTTTCTCATAGATGTGGAAATGAAAGTAATAACCAAAGAAATTAAATTAGAAAACTGTTTCTGTATAGCAGCTGAATTGGAAAAAGTGTCTGAGATAGGCCTGCTCTTTTCCCCCCTCAATTTCTATATCAATTAGAAATAAAGAGTAACTTATGCTTCCCAGTAGTGATATGAGTGAATTAATAAATCAAAATATTTCCTAGTGAAAATATAATGTAAATAATAGAATTATTAGTAGTAAAGATTATTTAATCTTCATAGGGTGAGGGGGGAAAAGTTTCTTAAAGAAGGATAACAAGTGTTCATGCCAGAATCAGGCTTAGAAATCAGGGTGTTTTGGTGTTGTCAATAGTAACAATACTAACAATAATTACTAGATGGCAAGAGAGTACTGATTTTAGCAGACTTGCCTGCCAGAGCTGCTGCATTTTGTTTACAAATTAAGATTTTTGCACTTAAATTATTTTCAAGGGAAGCATTCATATTCACGTGGCTTTTAAAATTTCACACTGTGGGCCCTCAAGACTTTGTAAACAAATTTTCCACTTTCAAAATCATCCATATATATTTCTTCTATATAGAACAAAATTTCCTTTTTGACAAGCTAGTTTGGGGAAGGAATACCCCAATCTTCATTTAAACACACACACAGACACACACACGTACACATACACACTGGCCCGATTTTGCAAATCAAATGTCCAATGGGTATTTTCAAGATGTTTAAAAATATGGTCCATATGTTATTTAACAAAATTGTACCTATTTTGAGTTTCTGAAGTGACAGCTCATGCTCACTATATGCCCTTTTTTACTGGAAATGAAAGCTACACCAATCTGGCTTGTTGCAAAATTCTCAACAAAAGAGCCAAACAAAACCCAGTCACGGGGGAGGCTAACAAAGTCACTGGAAAGCTGAACAGAGTCTAAGAGTATTTAAACACCATTCAGTCTTTCCTCACCCTACATTTCCTTCCTATAATGCCAACTAGCAAAGACAAAAAAGACAAATACAGGGAATTTTCTGGTTGTTACTGTGGAAAGAATAAGATCTTATCTGTTGACATTATAGTCACTTAAGCAGCAAGACTGTGAATGCTTTAAGAATATAATTAAAGTCAATTCTAAAACAAAAAAAAAAAGGAAAGTAGAGTCAGAATATCATTAACTGCTTTTACTCAAAACTTACATTGTTTTTTTTTTTCTAAGAACCCCTGAAATGTCAACTATATAACATGGTTCTTTTCACCCCTTCTTTTTCCCCTCCTAGGCACCGAATGGCCTCCCAGCTGTGAGCAGTTTTGTGTCGGCATCCAGCATGGCTCCTTATCCTACCCCAGCCCAAGTGTCTCCATACATGACCTACAGCGCTGCTCCATCTGGTTATGTAGCTGGACATGGGTGGCAACATGCCAGCAGCACCCCACTTTCCCCCCACAACTGTGACATTCCCGCGTCACTGGCGTTTAAGGGAATGCAGGCGGCCAGAGAAGGTAGTCATTCTGTCACGGCTTCTGCACTCTGATGGGAAATTCCATTTGCAGCAGCTTCACCCAGGTCCCCCCTTTTGGCACACCCTCCTCTCCTCCCCTGGTCTCGGATCCCACCCTTCCTGCTCTCCAACTCTCCTGCCTCGAAAGCTGGCTTTACGGACTCACATCCTTTGTGCTGATGACACTTAAATATTTCTTGCCATAACTGCTCTCTCACAGAAAACCTGACATGACTTTAAGATTTAAAAACAAAAGCAATGCTAAGGATCGAAAGAGACATCTGTGTTGCCCACACACTGTTTTAACATAGTGAAGAAACCTGCACCCCTCAAAGGGCTTAAGGGACTTTGTAAACTAGTCTTTGGTGAAACCACATGTGTATATTTATTCTAAATCAACCTGAACTTTTGAAACGTGCAATTGTTGAGATTTTTCAAATCAATAAAGGAAAATACATGTAGAAAAAAGTTATGCTACACCCTCTAATCAAATAAGGTGGTGAAATAAGCCTTACTACATCATTAGAAAACCAATCAATGATTGGCTTGAGTGATGCTTTGTGTATTTTAGAGACAGCCTACTTTGTTGAAAAATAGATGAATCACACAAGCAGTATCTGAATTCAGCTCCTCCTGGTGTTTTGACTTGGGTTCAAATACAGCAATGTTTATATTTTCTACTAGTTTGTAAATATGGACTCTGGATGGTGCATTTGTGTTTTCACTCCTTCTCCCACCCCCACTCCTCTCTATTTTATTTTTTCTTTCCTTTTGCAAAGGTGACTTTCTGGCAATGTCTTTGTCTCTGTTTGGTGGTGGGCTGCTTGGGCTCCTGGACCTGGACTGGCCCCAGATTTTGTGTTTGCAGTGAAGGGCTTTGACATCTCATGAAGGACATTTTCTTTCTACAGCTGAGGACTCAAAAAACAGATCAAACAAGCCAGTCTCCCATTTTGTATACTAATCAAATAACACACATGCCAAGCATATAAAGACAAGAGGGTGGAAAATAGCTGAACAGAAAGCTCTAAAGAAAGTCACTTAGAAACTTATGTTTAATGTGAAATGCTTTGCAAAGACACTTACATGAACTTTGTTAAGAGAACCACTGTGAAACTAAATTGTACTGTTATTGTTGGCTTACCTGTGTGTTCAGCAATCTCAGCCCCAAATTATGTTGTAACTTAAAGAAAATGGAAAATTCTGCTCTAATGAATGTAAAAATGGCTTGCTGTGAAGTTTACATTATTGTACGGAAGCATGTCTCACATGTAGGTAAACTGGTGGTGGTATTAGAAATACAAATGCTATTTAACAAAATCCACTTATTCATTTCTGGAGTTGACACAATTCAACTGATAAGTCTTACTAGACCAATTCATTTTTCACTTCATGTTGATAATAGAGCTGTGGGGTATATGTGAGTGTGAGTGTGTGTTATGTGTTATATTTTAAGACAATTGATTTCCTTGGGCAAAATTCTGCAGTTTTGATCTCTTCTGTTTAGAGGGTTGTTCCTGCATGGCAACATATGCTGGAAAATACAAAATCATTGGTACAGTTCATCTATTGGAAAATTAATATATTGTGGGTCTTTTGGTATTAATTCTGTGCAATAACTAAAAGGGCACATAGCTAGCTGTGGATGTTAAAAATGCAGCGTGTTAGGTGATTCTGATTTTTTCCTATATATGCTGTGCACAGCCTACATGGCAATCCAGTTCCGTAACATCATTTTCATGACTTCATTTAACACTCAGAGGCTAGATTAGCTACATTTTCAAATCACTGGGATATAAACAGTAAGCAGATTTCTGATACACAAGCTATGTTCAAGGAGTTGCTTTTTCAAGCAGCAAATATCTTTTAGGGAGCTTTGAACTGCATCTATTTCTAAGGCAACTGAAATTCAGTGCTACAAACAGAGGATTATAACTTCAGGAGAAGAATAAGCAGAAGGAGCAGATGAACTCTCAGGGCCATAGTCTTCCTTTGATCTTATAAAACTCCCATTGACATCTGGAGTTCCCAGTCTGGTGAGAAAATAGACTATAAACCAAATGGAACAAAGATATCAGTCCAATATTTTGTTGGAGACTTTAAAACCATACCATACAGGGACTCTCCTGCCGTCCAGAAAAACTAACATAAGGTACAGAATTATTCCTTATTAGATGTTTTTAGGTGGCTATTAGGAGTCTTTAAAAAAAATATCAATTGTTTGTATGGAAACACAATTAAATATTATTTTCTTTATCTAAATTAAGAAATCTCTTGTTAATATGCTATTTATATATTTTTTCTAGTTCTTGTAATTTTAAAAATCTATGATTATTCATGGTATCAAAGTCATCCCCCCACCCAGGTCTTTTCGACACCACAGTGAACTCACATGCAGTAAATTAAAAAAGACAATGCAAAGTCCAAGTACAATTTTCTATTCAAAAGAAATTATGACAAGCTTATTTTAAAAAGAAGAGAGGGAACATGGGATAGGATATAAGATTTGGATTATTTGATTTTTAAACATTATTATTATTATTGGTTGATATTGTCATATGTACTGTTTCTTATGGGGTAAAATGTTGTTTTTAAACTGGCCAGTGCACTCTTTAGAGATCCTTTTCCATTTCATCCACAGGAGAGTTACCAGGTCAATCTCGTGACCTCCATGCTGGCAGGCCTCTTCTCTCATGAGTATTACCTGCAAGGACAGAACACTGTTGGACGATAGACACAATCTAATTTCTTTTGTTTTTTCCTACTTTTAACGACCCTCTTATTAAATATTGGGCTGAAATATAAATTAACAAACACGTTGGAAAGGATGTATAACCGAAGGCTGTGTATGTATATACAGTATGTCAAAAAGCCTTTATTTTTATACTTCAAATGCTCTAAATTAATAAAAAGTAATAATTACCATGCTATCTTTTATTTTTTATTTTCAAGATGCCTAATAACAGCCTCATGTAGAAACACCCTGTAGTAGTTTCAATCAGGTGTTATCTAGAATGTGCAAATAGTCTTGCTGATTTTTAGCTACCGAAGCAGCATCATTTCAGGATGCAGAATTAAAATCAAGTTTGGTTACATCAAGGACAAGGAGGTATTTTTTGGAGTGCATGTCAGTACAAGAATCTTCAGAAATGCTAAGAATGTACTTCTACTTTGAAATATTTTTCTTTTCATAATATATATTTTAACAATGTAGATGGCAAACTTCACACCCTAAATTCACTTAAAACTAACCTAGAAATGTAGTCTTCTAAATATTGTTTTGAAAAAAGGTATTTGGATACAAATAGAGATAGCACAAATGGACCCAAAGAGTGGCTCTAATTTATGAGTTCACATGAAAATATTTCAGCAACAAGCTTATTTTCAAAGGAACTATGTGAAAGGAAAATAGTTTATGTTTTCTATTTGCCATAAAAGCCTTCAAATATCATGCTTTTAAAATGTGATCTGCTGTAAACAGCAGTTCAAAATATAAAGTAGATTTAGAAAAATATAGCTGAGATGTATGTTATTACTTGAGAAAACTGACAGATTTTCATTTTAGAACAGTACTCCTAAAATTCAATATTTTCAAAAGTTATTTTTCTTGTACACTTTAAATATTATTTATGGCAGAATTTAATTCCTCATAGAAACTGCTTACATTTTGGCTTAACAATTTTTAACCCAGTTTTTCTTTGAATAATTCTAAAGACATGACCATAGAGTGATTTCTTTTCAAGAACTTCCTTTAAGCACTTCTTGGCCAAAATAATTATCAATATAATGAAATTTCAGAGCACAAATTTTATATTGCTTTTGTGAAATATATCTGATTTCTGTGTTATTTCTCTGTGTTCAGTTTACATACTTCATTGCCTCAAGTTATTTTTTCTAATGATTTTATGGACCTATCAAAACCAAGTTCTCAGTTTTGTCTAGAAATAACTTCAGGTGTATCAGAATAAGGTCTTTAATTGAACAAATAGTTTTCTCCTCTACAAATGTATAATTATCTTATAATTATATTGATTTAGCTGATTGAGCATCTCTCCTTATAGTGTACATAGCAGATATCCATTATTTCAGAGGGAGAAACACATTGCAAGCCATTACCAGTTTTCCTGAAGCCATGAATAGGCATATTCATAAACCAGTAGCATCACTGCACCACCTGGAAAAGACAATAGCTAGTTGTTTTTTTTTTAAGATTTATTTATTCATACAGAACTGGGGTACAGGCCAGAGGCTCAGGGGCAGCGCGAAGCTTCACCAGAGACAGAGTGGGGAGCAGAACAGGCAGATCGATGAAACACACTGCTGAGGGGAGCAGTGGGCTGGTCAGGAGGGGTCTGCTGCACCATGTGGTCACCTCTGGGGCAGGTGGGGATCGAACTCATGTGGAAGTGGCTTTAGCCTCTCAGTGTTGTGTTTTAACCTGCTGCGCCACCAGGGAGGGCCAAGAGCTAGTTTTTAATAGAAAATTCTGTAAGATAGCATTGTTTACCCACTGGGTTTGTGAATCCATGACATGTGACACAGCCTACTCAGTAGTGGCTGCCTTATGGGAGATTATCAGTCCTCGAGCTACAACACACAGATAGAAAACAATTGTGGAATATTCTCAGGGTAAAATCAAGACCATCTTTAGTCTCCAAATACATTTAGTTTCTGTAACTTTCATCATATCTCAGATTCTTTTTCTGGCACTCCTAATTTTTAAAAGTAAATAAATTTAGACACACTTAGTCATGTAAAGGCATGCAGCTTTCCTGTGAACAGAAACCTTCCTAGGTAGGCAAAGGATTTATATTTTTCAGTCCATAATTGGGATTGTTGTCATTGCCTTTGAGAAGAACGCTAGGATGGTACTTGATGGTACTTGATGGATGAGTCTGGTTTTCTTGACAACTTTCAAACTGAATTACACATGGAAAATGTTCTTTTTCAGAAAAATGAATAAAAATGAATATTTAAAAAAATCTGCAGTATAAAAATTAGCTAACTTTCAGCCTTCTTTCATTTCCATTCCTTTCATGTGCCTCAGTGATAGGTGAGAGAAACTGAACATTGAGTGGTGGGGGTTGGATGTCCTAGACCCATCTGTTTGGAAGAGAAGAGTCCCATAACTGACTGCAAAGAGGCTTGTTATTTAATAGGTCGACAGGAACATGATAAGAAAAACAGGCATTGAAGCTGTTGGGTTCCTGGATAGCAGGAGAAGCATTTATATGTGGATGATTTTATATTTTATTCGATGCAGCAAATAGCACATGTTCCATGCCCTTTAGGATAATCTTTATCTTTTCATGTCTGTGTGAAAAATATTATAAAGTCAAAATGTGGACAGATATCCTGAGCACAATTTAGGGAAGACTTGGCTTCATGAACTGAAGATTGACTTCTGATGGAAAGAAAAAAAAACCTGATTTTGATCTCAGTTACTTTGTACATACTGCCATGTGTTTTATTTTTATTTTTATTTTTTTCAGTCTACAGGCCACACATGTTTGTGTAACTTTATACCAGAGATAATTATCTGCCTGTAATATTCATTTTTAACCAGTGGTGATATTTCATTAGACCCCTCCTCTCAGCTGATATAACAGGACACACTACATGTCAATATGTAATTGCTGTGCTGTATTTACTCTTATTAACTGTTCACAGTATAAGACAACATGCAGAATTGCTCTCATCCTAGTGATACTTGGAACTGAAGCCACAGAACTCATGAACTTCCTTTCTTGGGAGGTATCTGATTGTCAGCCACATAAAGGTGCTAAGATTGTTAGAAAAAGATGATAGGATAATTTTCTAGAACTACGAATGAAAACTCTAAGTTCACCTTTTTTTTTTTTTTTTTTAACCTGACCTTTCTACATTTCTTTTCTTGTCAGTTGCTAGGACTTGCACTTTTGGAATGAGTGTGGAGGCCACATCCTTGAGTGTGCATTCTAGTCATTCAGTTTTGTTTAGCCTACACAGTTAGTTCTCAACAACTCTTGTCTTTGGATTTAACACCACAGCAACTCAGGACCTCTCATGCAAAAACATTTAAAAAGCCAACAAAACATTTGCAAGGCTCTGACAAAACTTGGGGTCAGATCATTTAAGAATTTTGGACTAAGTTTCCAGTCAATTAGTTTTCTAGCTAAGTTCTTCCGGGTCAAAAGGTCCATCCCCTTCTGAAAAAATTGAGTTGGAGTCAGTGCTAGTATTATTTTTTTAAATATGAATATATTTAATTGAATATAATTGTTTTTAAAATAACATAATAGTTTATTCTTCCATCATTTTGTGCCCTTTTCCATCTCAGTTGTAATCCCCAAGGGCTTCCCTCCCTCACCTTATCACCTGTGTGCCATCACCATAGTCCAGTCAGTGTTAGTGTTTTCTGAATAAGTGAAATTGTGACGTGTTCACTAGCATCAAGTTCCAGTCAAATGTTTTCTATTTCAGATGCTGTCTTATGGGTTGAGACTGAAAAGTAAATGCACATGTGTGTGACTGTGTGGGAGGAGATATTGATGTTAAAATGGGAGGAATGGGAAAGGTAATGAGGAGAGGAGGAAAAGAAAGTTCTAGAGAAGATTACCAGAATGTCTAGGTCAGTCAGTACATACTCTGTACTGACTTGCAAGGTGGCTTCTAATCCAAGGCTATTTGTCCAGGCTGTTGAGTCTGCAGCAGTTGTTTTTTCATCTGTTTACAGAGAGGCAGCTGACTCTCCCTGTGGAGTTGGCAAACAGTTTTTTTGTGGGTTGGCCTTCTGAGGGAAGGCCTGGAGCCAGGAGCCTCCACCTTATAGCTGACTGAGGCCAGAAGGTGAACACCAGGCTGTGGCTTCACCTCCCCCCAGAGGTGACTATGAGGACGAGTAACACTTATATTCAAGGAGGCAAGGTGTCCTCTTTTCTCTTTCGAAAATAGAGCAGAGGGAGGAACAGGAATGAACTAGGAGTACAGGAAATGTTTCACTGGGTGGGTCCCTCACTCAGTGAAAAATCTTCCCCTCTTGCCTGGAGTTGCTGTGTGTATCTGGTCTCACCTGAGTGGCCACTGGCTGCGCATCCTGTCCTATTGACTTAAGCCTCCAGCAAGGCCATAAATAGTCCCTTATAAACAAAAGTAGAACATGTGTAATGGATGCCTTCAGTATCTTGAACATTTGGAGACAACTTTATATTCTCAATGTTTTTATCTTCCACAGTGTGACAAGCTTTTATTGTGTAGCTAATAGAAACAAATAAGGAAAAAAAGAGAGACCCTGGAAACAATAAAGAAGGAAGGATATAAGTAATAAAAACATCATTACCTGGTCCAAGCCTCATAATCTTGGGAAGCAGGCCTTTGTACAAAGATAAAAGCCTGTAACCAGAAAAGCAAGAACAAGATTTTTATTCTGAAAATTAAATGCTTCAGTTTTATTTAGATGCTAATTCAGAATTTACAAAAAAAAAAAATTAAAGTTAATTCAAATCCCAAACCAGACAGTATCTGACTAAGTATTCTCTCTGAAGCAAATTGGACAAGGGGATAGAATCAATTTGTTATTACTCAAGCTATGCTGAGCTGGTCCAATCAGAAATAGGACTTTTATCAGCAAGATGGTTTTTGCTTTCCAGATGGGTCTTACTTTCAAGGCAGCTGTGTATATGGACAAAATGACTTTTATAATTAAATTTAAAAGACCACAAACTCAGTCTTCACATAAGGAAATACGATGCAGTTTAGATCAAAATAATAAAATATTACTTGTTTACTTGAGAATAAGACTTGGGATGAGGAGGGGTGGAGACCACGGGGAGAAAAAGAAAAAAAAAAAAGGTCAGAAAAAGACTTACACTTTACATTCTTTAAAGAAAATCGCTATTGAAGAACTATCTAATTCTCTTAGAATTATAATTGGGTGACATTTTGACTAGTTCTACAGTCAGTAGACAATTGTTCATCTGCCTCAGTGTTAATCGGGCATATTATATGCACATTATGCAGACAAGTTCAAAGTTCATTTTAGCGTCCTCGCACCCACATGGAGCAGTATGGTGGCAGCTCAAAGTTCTTGTTGGAAGAATGTTTTGCCAACATGGATGATTGTGTTGTCCTGCAAATTTCATCCTCGATCTCATAGAGCTTCTAGACACGCACCCAATTTAAGCAAACTTAAGGCTCTCATCAAAATGGAAGTACAAGATGGTTCTAACCACACTGAGTCCTGCATATTTATTAAAACGAGAATGCATTACCCTTCTTCCTGATAGACCGTTGCCATTGTTTGAAAACAAGTCCTGTACTTGATCTCTCCAGGAACTGGCTGAGGCCCTTGAATCCTACTTTTGGCAACATCAAAAGGGATGTTAATGACTGAGGCGATTGTGCCCGAGACAAGACCAATCCCAAATTTTCTCAAAAACTCCAAGGTTGGATCCTAAAAGAGAAGAATAAAATAACAGAAAGGGAAGCGGAAGCCCCTAAATCGGTTAAACACTCTACAGCTATATGTATTTAAGCAGAGCATTGCACTCCCGGCACCCTCCTGTTATTCCAGCGGAACACATTAGGATTTCCTAGGCTGGAACTTGTTTTCTTGACAATCCCATTGGCTATGTTTTTACACATGGTCTAAATTGCTGAAGTACACATTTCCTCACACAGGATTTATAAACACAGTTCATAAAGAAAGACTGGTATGGCATATGGGGATGATTTGTATAATTGGGCTTCACAATGTACTTAGTATTACTGTATCAAAACAGGAGAAATCCAAGCACACTATTAGCTAATTGGCCAGAATATTTTACAAATGACAGCAACTTCCACCATGAAGCCTACTAAAATGCTCATTTGTGTGTGGACCCCCAAATGTTAAATTAAATCAAGGCTACTCTCGGTCTGCTGCTATTCCCCTCCAGGTTTTTTGCATTTATTTTCACGTGTAGCTGATCCACTGTACTGAGAAGTGCTAGCTTCCTGTTATTAACAAACCAACTTGGGGAGGCACAAAACAGCCTGTGACATTCTGTGTGTTATAAACAGTAGTAAGTCACTGGACTAATTGGCTGAAGAATTTACAGCCCATTGTTCCTGAATCTTATTCCTCCTTCATGGCAAGGGAGAAAAAGAGAGAGACAGAGACACACACAGAGAGGGAGAGGTGGGGGAGAGGAGAGGAGAGGAAGAGAAAGAGGGAGAGGGGGGAGGGAGGGAGAGGGAGAGAAAGAGAGAACTTGTCTTCTTTCCATTTGAATTTAAGTCCTTCATTTTGGTCTGATTTGATTTTCCACCCCTCCTTGCTCTGTTTTCTGACATCAAAGTATTTAATTAGGTCTTATGTGGGAGTCACTTTCCTTCAGTCTATTTTTTTGTGCCCAACAAGCTTACATTATGCTTTGTTATAATGAATTTTCTGGGAAGTTCTCATTATGTTTTCAGGCTCAGTTCTTGCCCTGAAGAGAGGTCATCTCACAAACCATAAACTTCTGACAGAGCACCCCCATCCTGCCTTGTGCTCTCTTTTGGTCAGAAGGATCTTCACAGAGGAACAATATAGGGTGGTGTGATCATACTATTTTTATCTAACAGGCAAAATTAAGGGGGCCAGGGAGGAACCATATATTGCTTAATTAAGAACAAAAAATAAAAAACCAGGTCTGAGCATTGATTCCAGCTTCTATGGAAGAAGAAATCTCCTAGAAACTCAGAATTTTTCAACTAACCCAAGAACCAGATACCATCACAGAAACTCCTATGTGGCTAAGTATAAAAAGCAAGGGGTTTGGTAATAATTCTTGGATCTGAGCCATACAGGTGCCGGCTAGGTTTAAAGGGATTTAAAAACCAACAGGGTGTTTCAACAGGAAAAACAATGCAGCTATCGCAGTATGAGGGAGGTGTGTTTAAATAATCCCCCCTCCCCCCATTTTTCTCTTTTACAAGGAGAGAAAAATGCCTTTATGTTACCCTTCTCCATGATGGCGCAGAAGCAAAACTGGAGGTCAGGATGGCGGCTGCCGGGCCAACGCTGTTTGTCTGACTTTGCACAAATCACCAAATCACTGAGCTCAGTGTGTGGAAGGGGCATTAAAAAAACCTGCCTTATCTTTGTACTGTATGATTTTTCTGAGGAATATAAATAATGATAGTAGTAAAAGTGCTATGAATATTACAGAAATATTGCAGGATATAAATCTGGCAGAAAACGGACAGTATTATGTAGTCTGTTTTCTGAAGACTAAAACCACCCTGTAATAAACTCTTTCACGGTGTCCCTGTAACCCAGCCAAACTCTTTCTTTTTTCAGTTGAAGACAAAGAGTGAAAATGATGACTTGTATGCACATTGTCCTTCGGGAAATTCAGAAGAGCTTGCCAAGCATGCAGTCTCTCCATCTCCTGATATGTTTGCTGAGGATTAGCGTCTAGGATGGAGGGTAAACTACAACATTCAATGGAGTTCATTGTGTTTAAGACACTGTTGGGAACCAAAACTGAAGGTTTTCAAGACATCGTAGTTTTCATGAGCACGGGGATGGGGTGAGCCCTCATTTCCTGGCACAATGTCATGTGCCACAGGAGTTCCCCAACTCTTCTGTGCCTCAGAATCACTAGCCAGCAGCACAAAAAATTGGGGACCTGAGCCCTGCTTTAGACCCACCTCAGGTTCCCAGATCACATCACTTGTAGCTTGTCAGTTGCTGTCCTTCTAAGGACAGGCGGTACAGTTGGGGGTGCAGGCCACAGGAGGAGCACCAGGTTGGGTCAAGAAGGAGAAGCAGGGGCCAATGATTAAGTTTATGGGTTCCCAGGGAAAGACAAGACAGGGCAGGGTAAACAGTTTAGGACTGTTTATTTTGTTTAAATAATTGCATTGGGCTCTATGCTATGAGCTGGTCCCTGCTTACTTTCTGGACCTGGATGATTTTAGCAGAGGAATATTCCCTTTTGCGGTATAAAGACCAGGTAGAAGATTTCTCTGGATTGGTCAGTCTGCACCTAAGTTCGGTGTTTTGCTATCTCTACTCTCTAATATTTCCTTGCACCACCTCCTGCACCCTTTCACCAGCCAGAAAAAAATTTAAAGCTGTCAAGACATCATACTCAGGAAATACAGTGGGGCTGGCCTGCCTCAGGCAGTATAGTAGTGTGGGACTGTAGTCTCTTTCAGACCTTGTTCATTCTGCCGTTGCCTTTGGGGGCCCCTGGACAGTACCCAGGACAGCCAAGTTCAATCCTATCTTGGCACCCTTAGAGGAAGACGCATTTACAGTCTCTCCTCTCTGCCCATGAACAACTCCTCCCAGATTAACACATCCCTTCCCGTGCTGTCAAAGGAGGCAACGATTGTAATAACATTAAACATTTCTGCATGTAATTTGTGCAAATTCCCATGTATTACTTCAGTTACATTTTTTTTTAAGATTTATTTATTTATGCATACAGAACTGAGGTACAAGTCAGAAGTGCTGAGGCTGTGAGAGGAATCACCAGAGACAGAGTGGGGGACAGGACAGGTAGATAGATGAAGTACACTGCTGAGGGGGACAGCGGGGGTGACAGGAGAGATCTGCCGCGCCATGTGGATCACCTCTGGGGCTGAGGATAGAACTAGCTTTAAAGCAGCTGCGGCTAGCTTGCAGTGTTGCATCCTAACCGTTGTGCCACCAGGAGGGCCCCATTTACCATCTTTGAGGCAATAACTATTAGCATTATTATTCTTATTTTACAAATGAGATAATTGTAGGTTAAGAAGAAAGGAATTCTTGTTACATACACAGGAACTGAAGAACCCAAGATTTTGCCTTAGGACATTTTAAAAAAACTCATACTTTTAAGGGTCCTTGGGTGGGTTGATGGGAGAGGAATCCAAGAATCTCCTGGAATTATAAGGCGTACTTCTGTATAGGTGTGTTTAGAACTTTCTGCAGAGGATATCTATAGATTTGATCAGGCTTGCAAAAGCGAACAAAAACAACTTCATTAGATCATGAAGTCATATATGATCATGAGATCATAGGATTGAAAGCACTGGGCCTAAAGCAGGAATCCCTTATTTTCTTGGGAGTTACCAAGCAATTCACCTTTAATTTGTGAAGAAACTTGTGTACACACTCTTGTTCTGGGGTCAGGCTACTCAGCTCAACCATATGTATGAAATCAGTGGTCTGAGAGTGTGGTCCCCAGACTACAGCCATCAGTATTTTGTGGATCATTTCAAATAAAAATTGGATCCTGGCCTACTGAACCCCAAACTCTGTTTAAATAAATTCTCCAAATTTTGATGGATGTCAAAGTCTGAGCATCACTGTTTAATTGACGTTTGTGGCTTATCTCTTTGGAATCCTGGGATAGGTAAATGATGCTCTTAGATTCATTTAAATTATTGGCCCTCAGGGCCTCTGCAATGCCAGAAAACATTTTAAAGTTTCTTTAATAGAAGCAAGGCTTTGTTTCTTTAAGGCTGCAGAGAGCAAGTCAATGCTGTTGACTCTGTTCAACCTTTCCTACCCGAGCTTGGTTTAAAGTGAAAATGCTCATCTGTGGGATTGTTGGGTCTGAGTGACATCGATCACATAGTTTGATGGTTCTTTCTAAACTGACTATCAGTGGATTATCCTAGCATTCGTTTAAATAATCATCACAATAAATAACAAGAAAATAGCAACATTAATAGAAACAATAACGTGCATGTTATAATATTTGTATTATTTTTCACATCTACCATTAGGAGATATAATGCTACAATCAATAATACTTATTGCTAGACAAGTCACAGGCAAAATATCTACAAACATATAATAGTACCATGAATCAGGTACATAAGACCATTTTACACATAAGGACATAAAATTAAACATTAAGTTGTCCAAAATCATCACAAGCATCAAGTTGATCAAACTCAATCACAAGCACCTCTTGCTTGCAAGAGGTGAAATATGGATTTGAACTCAGTTTCCTATTTTGCTAATAGGAAACATGTAGAAAACTATGCATGCCATTGGTTGGTAATGATTTCTTGCATATGATTTCTTGCATACCCAAAGCATAGGCAGCCAAATCAAAAATAGACCACTAGGACTACATTAAACTAAAATGCTTCTGCACAGCAAAGAATAGAAACAAAAGAGTGAAAAGGCAAGCTATGGAATGGGAAGAAAAAAATTGCAAACCATATATCTGATAAGGGGTAATACCCAAAATATGTAAAGAACACTTACAACTCAATACCAAGAAAACTAATAACCTGTTTTAAAAATGGGCAAATGGGGCCCGCCCTGGTGGCACAGTGGGTTAAAGCACAGCACTTAGAAGCTAAAACCACTTCTGTAAGAGTTCGATTCCCGCCTGCCCCGGAGGTGACCACATGGCACAGCAGACCTCTCCTGACCTTCAGCAGTTTACCTTGTTGATCTGCCTGTTCTGCTCCCAACTC